GCCCGCGAGGGAGGGTCCGCCCGGCCCCCCGCCGCCGCCGCCGCCGCCGCCTCAGCTGCCTCAGAAACGAGTCGCCAGGGGAACATGGCGCCGGGGCCGCCGGGATCACGGAGGCCGGGGCCGCACTGAGGGCGCCCCCGTGGCGGGTAAGTGCGGTGGAGCTGGCAGAGGGAATCTGGGGACGAGCGAGGCGCCGGGGCGCCGCCCCGCTGCGGGATCCCAGGGTGGGGGGAAAGGCGGGGACGGCGGGGCCCGGAGCCCGCGAACAATGGAGGAGCTGGAGGGGGAGGGGAGGGAGCAGCCCCCCCCCACACACACCAGCGCCCCGCCGTCCCCGCCGCTGCACGCCCGGGCCGGGCCCGCGCGGCCCGCCTTGCCCTTCGGACTTTCCAGTGTCCCCCGCAGCCCTGCAGTCCCGGCGACTGCTTCACACATCCCCCCCACGACCTGGTAAGGGGGGCAGTCTCGGTGTCTCACCCCCATCTCGAGCCTCCAGGCTCCCAATTCTGAACCTCCCTCCCCCCAAGTCATGCCCTTCGTCGCCTCCTGGAGTCACTGGCTTTGCTCCTGGGACGACCCACCTCCTTTTCTCCGACCCCCTGTATCCCTTCTGACACCACTTTGGAGAGGCTTGATCCTTGTGTGGGATTTTGTTTGTATCGCTCTTGGGGTCTCTGGTCCCCTCTTTGGCCGATCTACTCTTGTTCTTGTGTCAGTGAACCAATGGCACCCCAAGGAGCTGTCCCTTTAGGACCTGCGGTTCCACCTCCGTGGAGGGCCATCCTAGACTCCTGTTGGTGTGGGCATTGCTGCCCCCCGGGTCTCTTTTGCATTGGACTTGATTCTGTCTCTTCTTGGGCCCAGATGCCCCCACATTTCTGCCCCGGCCTATTACAGAACCTTCTGCGTCCTCCTTGGGATACCCCTCGGCTTCCTCTCCGACCTTTCACAGATCTAGATGCCCAGTGCTTCCTTCCCTTTTCAGTCCTTGCTCCGGTTTGCTTTCAGCTCCTTTACTCTTCCAGACCTTTCTCCCTGCCAACTTGCCCGATGCCCTGTCTCTGGTCTTGCATGCACTCCCCCGCAGTGCCTGGCTTTCCACCTCGGCCTTTCCCCTTCTTTGACCCTCCAGGAGTCTCATTTCTGCCTTTGCCTTCCCTGCCCACTGTCCCAACCCTAACTTCATCTCTCCCGGACTTCAGCTTTGCCCCCTGCTCTCTCTGAGGCTCCATCTCTTCCCCCACCCTTATTTCAGTGCTCCTCTGACCTGCTCCATTCATTTGCCCCTCTTTAAGTCTCTTCTTTAAGTTTTCCACCTGGGACCTGCTGCCTGCCTCCCCGTTGCTCCTAGGGCTTCTGCTGATGGGATAACTCGGACCCCTTACACCCACAGCTTCCCATTCTGCATCCCGTGGACTGGAACCTTTTTCCACTTGCTTTTCCCCTCATTTGTTTGTTTCTGCTCCATTCTCTTTATTTCAGTGCCCCCTTTTGGAGCTGTCCACTTGCCTGCATGTTTTTGGGATCCATTTTTAACTTTCCTATTGCTGCCCCTCTTGAAGTGAACCTGATCTCCTTGTGACTGTGTCCCATCTTTGGTCCCTCTGCATTTGAAGTTCTCCCACTGACTCCTCCCCATTCCATTCAGCCTTTCGCCCCAGACCCAGCAGTCCGACTTTACCTTCCCTGTTCTGCCCTACCTCTTGCCTCCTTTTGAATCCTTCTCATTCGAACCTGGTCTTCTTAACCATTCCTTTATTCCTGCCTCCCTTTCTTGGAGCCGCCCAGTTCTTGGAGAGATGAGCCTTCCCTTTTGATCCCTCTCTCCCAGTTCTCTTCCTCTTTGGCCTGTTGCCTTCCTCTTGGTTTTCTGCCTTTTTCTACCCCCTCAGGTTCCCTCACTTCCACTTAGCTCTTAATCACATCTCGTTTTCAAGGTTTCCCGACTCGGTGCACACAGGTTCCCTGTTGAGGACATCCTCCTTCAAGCCTATCTTTTCCTGTTCTGCATCCCTCAGCATTGGCCAGGCTAGGCTGGACCCTGGTTCTCTAGGTGCAGATCCAGGCTGCAGATTCTCTCTGGAGCCTTAAACCTTGTAGGTTTTGTCTCCAGGGTCCTCCTGAGATCTGCAGTAGGGGGTAGGGGGTGGGGGGCTGACTGATTTCCACTCTGCAGTCTGGGAGTGTCTCCCCATTTCTCCAACTTGTACCAGGGTGGTGGGGAACATTTGTCAGTTGCCCTGTTTTCTCCCCTGTGCTCTCTTTGCTCCCACTCCAGGTTTCACAGCTTTGTGTCCTTGGGAAAGGGGACTGCAGCTGCTCCAGGCTCTTTTTTCTAGTTCTTGCTTCCCTTCCCTTCTCTGAGCAGTTGTAGATACTCAGTTGTACTCTCTCCCTGCACCTCTAAGCCAGCACTCCTGGGAGAGAACTTAGGAGTATGCTTTTTTGTCTTTTTTTTTTTTCCCACCTGACAAGTCATATTCTTGTTTTACTACCGGCTACGGGAAATGCCAGTTCTCAAGTTCTGCTGGTTCCTGGGGGTGTTATGACCACACTTGGTGTTTACTGCCTTGGGCCTACAAAAGCAGTACTCTTGCCTTCCCTGACTGCCTTTGGTTTGTGCTGTGACCTTGGGGAGGGGCTGAATTTCTTTTTCACTTCTGCCATCCCCCCCACCCCCCCAAGATTCCAGCTTCCTGGTCTTCAAAATGGTGAAGTCCTAGGTTTGGAAAGCACTTTGCGGTTGTTGCTGAAAGAGAGAGTGCCAAGTGTCACTCAGATTTCTGCCCTCTGGAATTGCAGGCACTCTCAGCCACAGGAGCCCAGTGCCTCTGAACAGATCCATGCTGGGTTCTAGGGCTCCTTGATGTGCAGGGGACCTACCATTCCCCAGACATTCTGAGGGACCTACAGTTAGAGGTGCTCACTGACTGATGTAAGTGGATTGGGTTTGTCTGAACTGCACCTTCTCTACCTTTCCTGAGCTATATTCTTCTGAAATTCATTCAGAGGTAGAGGTGGTTTTTTTTTTTTTTTGCAAAAGCACCATCTGACCAATCTGACTATATTCCTTCTTTAACTTGGGAGGAAGGACCTATGGCATGTTCTATGTTTATTTGTTTTATCCCCCCCCTTTTCAGGGCAATTGCATATTAAAACAGCTATCCACCTGTGAAGGCACATTTACTGGAAGGACTTTCTTTCTTAACTGAGCTATGATCAGACTGTTTATTTCATCACTCATTTAGAAATAGTTCTGTGTGAACACATTTGAAATAAAAAGCATTCACTGTCATCTACAGAATTAGACCATTGACTCATCACATGTTACGGCATTTGTGTATCATGGACAGTGGAGGGGGCTGCATAATATGGGTGTTCTAACTTCTGGGACTTTAGATTTCCTGGATTTGTTGTCTGTCCAGCCCCCCCCCACCCCTGTACTGTACTGTAGTTGTAACTCATGTGCATGCTTGGCTTGTTCTGCCCCTGAGCTACACCCCCAGCCTTGGGACTTTAAATTCTGACAAGGAGAGTCTGGGAATTTTGATGATCTATGTGTAGCATTGTTTTTTTTTTACCATTATTGACTTAAAGAATTTTGGTTCCTTTCCAGTGGTGAATCTTTGGTCTCATCACAATTAACCCACTGAATTTATTTTAGAGTTTGTGTTCTCCATGTTAGTGAAAATAGTTGGTTTGTTTTTTATTTTTAATGTGCAGGTGATGGCTAATTAAGAATAGGAGCAACTGTGTATGCAGTACCAATTAATTTGTGTTTCCTGAGTCTTCACATCACTGGCAGCATAAAAAGTTTCTGCATGCTCAAAGCCAAGGTTTACATAATAGGAAGAGAGGCGACAGAAAGAACAAAGAACTGATTTTCCTTCCTAAGCTGTAACTGATGTTCCAGAAACTGTCAGATTTCTCTGATGGTAGTGGAGGCTCCATTCCTGGGATTGACATTTGCTTTTGTGATGGATCTGGGTGCTACAGTAATGTGAGGTGGTAGCCTTGGCCTTCTGGAACAGTTCCTGTGCCAGTTGGAGTGGAGTGTGAAGCCAGGATGGCAGCAGACAACTTCTTCCAACGCACTAACGTGTCTTTAAGGGCTCTTGCCCTGCCTGGATTTTTAGAAGGAGGCTGATCAAAGTTCCTCCCTTCCTTTCTTAGTGTCTCTCCCTAAAAACCAATCTTTCTTTCTTTTTGCCTATGTCTCCTCTCCCTGCCCCTCCTTATTATTGGCTTGACGAAACCTTGGGACAATAACAAATCAAAATCCATCGTTGCTTTTCATAGCAGGCAGATGGAAGAAGTTGCCAAGTGCAGGTCTCTAGGCCTGGTGCAGATGTTAGGGACAGGACAGTCTGGGAAGGGTGAGTGTTGCACAGTGAAGGAGAGCTGCAGCCTCAGTGGGCTGTGTGGTCAGTCTTGAGAGATGAGGAGGCAGATCAGGTCCTCCAAGCTGGAGCTAGGAGGATCAGAAGGCCTCTGCTGCCATCTAGTCGGGGCTGCTTTTCCATTCTTGGTCTGCTGGACTGTGGCCTCTTGGAAGGCCTTCTTGTGACCTGCTAGGATTGTTGTCATTAGCCACCTGACAAAACAGTGTCTTTTGTTTTCTGTTTTTTGAGACAGTCTTATGTAGCTCAGGCTGGCCTTGAACTCATTTTCCTGCCTCCTCTTAAGTGGTGGGATTACAGGCTTGTGTCACCACAACTAGCTAACACTATCCTAATTTATCTAATATGTGTGACATTTGAATTTCTGTTACTCATAAAATGCAAGATAGATAGGACTGAGATTCTTTGCTTGAAGAGGGAAGGCATCTAGGAGAAATGCCTCCTTTGGCCCCTTGAGGTCCATGGAAGTGAGTGTGAAAATCAGTTTCCTGGGTGATGTTGTAAGCTTCTGCTGTAGTGGAAGAATATTGGACATAGGGGCAGGGCCCCTTCTGCCTTGTCTTAATTAATTAGAATTGGGTACAGACTGCTTCTCTAGGCTGTTCGTTCCTGTCTGAAGTCTGGTGTGTTGTCTAGCCCTGGTAGTAGACTCTTTATCTGGTATCACTGTGTTAGAGCTGGGACTAGGGTTGGGCTCCTGATGCTGTGCTTTCATTCCCCTCTTGCCTTCCCTCCTTGCCCAAACC